GTGTTTACAGTGTGAGAATATATGCCAGTAAGCCCCATTGACTCACTTGTGAGGGAATACCACCATTTCATGTGCCCATAATGGTAAACCAAGAGAGCTTTTCACTAGGCCACTGTTTTACAATGCAGCACATCCAACAACATATTACTGGCTGCACTTAAAATAACCCAGCAGTTTGTTTTCTTCTAAACCACTTGCTGCTGCAACCATTTTGGGCTTTTAGTTAACTCTGTGTGCTTCATCTCTGCTGCTATCAATATATCCATGTGAACATAAATATTTATATATGAATATGTATTATTTGAATTCCAAATTGCTTTACTTTCATGACAAAATCTATCTTTGCATTGACAACACCTCCTCCCTTGACCTCCCCTTCTCTCTCCTCATTCCTATAGTGACCCTGAGGGCAGGACCGTCATTAAGAGGCCTTCACTGGTCACCTCTGGCTCCTGTGTCCCGGGCTGCCTCTTTATGGCCGCAGGGCACACCTAATCAATTGCCCACTCATGAACACTCTTAAAATCTACGACAAGCAAACACTCGTACACAAAACAACTTCCATTCAATTAGTCTTGAGATGTATTCAAACTTGCGGGCGTTAGTCTCCCTGAGGCCAATCAGATTGGGCTTTCTCGAGACTTCTACCCCAGCCAAATGACACTAATTAGCTGTGTGTATGTGTGTGTGCGTGCAGGTATGTGCATGTGTGTTTACGACTGACACTAATTAGCGGAGCTGGTGCACCTATTTCCTCAGGACCATTTCCTGTGATAGTAATTATTAGGTACGTGTGATAAATTCCAGGCCTTCTTCCACCCGTCTAGAGATAGAACAAGAGAGAAACAGACAAGGAGAGGGAGAGCGAGCATTCAATACTAAGAGGAAGTTAAGGAGGTCACGGTTAAAAGAGTAAGAAGAGACTATGGAAGAATGATTTTACTGTAGTGGTGCAAACTCCCATAGGACAAAGGGGAAAGCAGTTTCCATTTGCAAGATATTCCCTCCTTGACTTGGCCTCACTATTTTCCTTTTTAGTTGTCAATCATTGCATTGTTTTTGTTTTTGTGTGACACATCTTCATATGTCAGTCTTCAGATTAAGACAAGACGTTCTTTCTGTCTCTGGAAAGACTCTTCTATTGCTGTCTATCAGCTTAACCAAACACACATACAGTACACATACTCTCCTCTTTATTCTATTCACCAGTGTCCTCCGAGCATAAACTCATCTTTCAGTTCAACATCAGCTTCATAAGACAGCTCTAGCCTTTAGTCATTCACACTGACTTTAGGAGACAATGCCACTTCACCTTGGCCATTACATGGCTCACAAATCCTCTCTGCTATGTCAGCAACACAGCAGTATCCATACAGCAGGCAAACAGAGTGTCATTTGAAAAAGAACTCAAGGGTTTAAATAACGTACAGGAGAAAAAAACCTCCAATTCATAGGTACTGGGCGGTTACAGTAAATGCTTGCCAAAATACTATGCGGATAAATGCACCAGTCAAATATTAATAAGAAGTGATACAAAATAACCATAATTTATGCTAGAACAGCCCAAACCCTGAGAGAAGTGAGCTCAAGGTATGACGTTTGCAAATTGCAGTCCAAATGAAAAACATGGTCTGGGAAAAATGGGTCAAAAAAGTTTGGCACCTAACCTTCAATTGCGTGAGCTGAACGGCTGAACGGTGCAATGTACAATTTCAAATCTGGCTATACTATGCACACTTTCTCCCTGCTTAAAGCTTATTTCATGGGACCCAGACAGGGCTTGACAGGAGTTGCTTGGATACCAATCGTAACCTTTATGAAAAATTGGCAACCAATTGTTTGCTTTGGTTCCCACCATTGGTAACTACCTTTAACATATTTTCATCATTAAGTTGAAGTATAACCGGATAAAGTCTTAATGACTTAAAATATAACGTGACTAATATTTTTAATGTAAGCTACTGCTCTTAACAGATTGTGTTAAGCCCTGCCAGGTAGACTGTCATTATCTCACTGTACTGAACAAGGACTTAGAAGCAGGGATTTCCATGTGATGAAGCCCTCCATTGACAAAACCTCAAAGGAGGAGGAGGACTAGGGTGGAGCATGCCTAGGCCCTGACATAATAACACACCTACAGGCCCGACAGCCGACACACATGTCGAAGGTAAATACGCGTGTCAGAGGGCACGGGAGCACAGACAGACATGATGAATTGCCCAAAGTTCCCACGAGGCGACACACATACAAACTTGCTCGGCGAGAAAGGAAGGTGATGTGTGGTCAGCCCCTCCTCATCACTGCAATACAGAGAATCCCATTCACACACTGCACCTATACCCTCTATGTCTCATCATTACTTATCACAACAATGGCACTGTCACACCATACCTGTCTGCAGATTTCGCCAGTATGTGAGTGTCGTTTCAAAAATGGGTGAATGCAATGCTGCTCGGTTGAATAGATGAATGTGTAAATATACTTTTTTGGGGGTGAAATGTCTTCCAATGATGTGTGTGAGTGCACATGCCGTATATGCGTTTATATCTGCTGGTATGTGTGTGTGCCCAGGCCCCTCAGAGAGATCAGCGAGCAGGGACATGACCTTGCCAGTACAGCTGGTCTTTCTGTGTGTTTAGTCAATGTAACCATGGCAATGGCAGTGCAGACACAATGTCTACATTTGGGATTTGAAAGTCATAACGTTGCTGCCGCTCTAAGCTTCATTATGCCATGGATTACTGTAACTAGCCAACAAACGGATACATGAACACACTTCACGGACAGAATTGAATTTAAGGGTTACAGGTCATGGGTTATAACATTTACACCATGAAGAATAGCTCATTTAAGTTTGTAGGCTGAGTTGTGAGTAATGATAAAAACATGTAAGCATTATATAGCCGATATTTAGCTTTTGCCATATGACACAAAGGGTATGATTATATCCAAATAGTCCACACATGTTGAGCAAATGTCCAAATCTCTGGCGAAAGAAAGTGTGAACACATGAAACGCAGGATTTTCTATGAATAACTGCTCAGCAAAACATGCAAGACATAAGAGTGTATAATTGATAAAGCTCCTGCTTTAGTATTACACTGAGGAATAAGTTTTATTTTATGAGGTATTTTGTTCCAACATGTGGTTTGGTTAAAGTAGTGAAATTTAACATAATAAAAGAAGAGGAAGAAAAAAAGCCCTCAGCATATCTTCAACATTTATTTTTCCATTGCGTCCTCAGCATGGTCATTTGTGCTCTGAATACATTTCTATTTTCAATGTCTGGCACATCCACCTGTGAATCAACAGGTGGATGTGGTGCAGGTGTTTGCTGATACATGTTGTGTTTAGTCATTCTTCTCTCTCTCTCTAGCTCAACAGACTCTGCTCCCTCCCACAGCTTTCCTCAATCATTTCCCTGTTCTTTCTTCCACCACTTCCTCCATCATTCTCCTCCTCCCTTCCTCTATCCATCACCCCCATTATCAATCACTCCCTCATTCTATCATCTTTGTTTTCTCTCCATCATTTACTCTTTCCTCCCTAAGTCCCTGCTGCGACTACGCTCTTTTCTTTGGTTTACTGTCTTGCAGAATCTCTCTACTGATGTTTGCACAATTTCCCCCTCCATCTCTCAAATTGTCAAGTCCCCCCACTCTACCTCTAAAAAATTTCCACTGTGTCAACTCTGCATCTCTTTATGTGCATGCCTCAAAGCTGCCGCTACCTTTTTTCTTAACTCTATCAGCATTTGCCATCACTAAAATGTAAACAGAGATAATATCAGCTCCATTCCAAGTGTCTACAGGAGGATCGGGTTGAGTAAGCCACTGCAATGTTGTGGCATGTAGTATTATCCAATTCAGCCTATGGAAACATCTCAATGACTAGCTATTCAACATGTCCAAACACATAATTTCTCTATTGTGCACCTACACCTCGTGACCCGAGACTCATTTAATGGCTAGCTTCTCCAGAGGCCATCTGTGTTAGTATGTGTGTGTGTGTGTGTGTGTGTGTGTGTGTGTGTGTGTGTGTGTGTGTGTGTGTGTGTGTGTGTGTGTGTGTGTGTGTGTGTTTGAGTACTGTACAGTATGTTGGAAACTCAATCTGGTGTGGGGTGATAGAGCAGACCCGCACCGCTCCTTATACATCAAGCATTCAGCTCCATATCTGAAAAGGCATATATAAAATAAGCACTCTCCATCTCTCTCTGTCTCATCACAAACACACACACACGCAGCCACACACACACACACACACACACACACACACACACACACACACACACACACACACACACACACACACACACACAAACACACACACACACAACCCAAGCTAGGAATCCCAGCATGCAATGAGAGGATATTGAAAATGATTTTTTCCCCTCTTGTCTCTTTCATTAACAGTGTTGAAAAGCAAAGAGTCTGCTCTCTCTCCCTGGCTTATACACACACACACACACACACATTAAAAAAACACACACCGAGAGCTCCCCATTTCATTGGGGAACGTGCCTCACATGGTTTGCTTCAGCTGGTCTTCTTGACAAATGCCACATTACAGCGGGGAGAAGGAGAAACTTGGCATGCAATCAAACTTCTCTCATGATTTCTAAGATTTGAAATACTTCAGTTTGTGTAGCCCCTCCATTCCATCCTCCCCTCCCTCTCATTCTCTCTTTCTGTCTACTTGTTTTTTTGCCTTCACTCTAACTCCCTCTCTCTCTCTCTCTTGTTACCTCTCTTTTCTCTGCCTTATCTTTCCTGTTTAGTTTTCCCTGTGCTAACTTGGACCAGAGCTGTGCTGTGGGAATACGGCCCCTTTTAAAGCAAAAAGCCAAAGTTTGTGTAAGTGTGTGCATGTCTACATACGTGAGTGATTATATGTGAGTTCCACTGAGGTTGTGTGTACATTCTGCATGCGTATCTTTGCGGCTTGTACAGATGTAAGTCAGTCTCACGAAGCTTCGCCCCTCGCAATTCAACAGTCCTTTAATCCTCATCATCAGTGACCCCAAACCCCTGCCTCTGACCTATTCTTACACACAGACACATACAGGTTCAAAGCCACAAAAGACCACACACTCACACACACACACACACACACACACACACACACACACACACACACACACACACACACACACACACACACACACACACACACACACACACACTCGTGCCCCCAACATTAGCTCTTACTAGTGGAGACTTGCATTCAGTCAAAGTCTCAAACACAAAGGCAAATAATCCCACCTACTTTGTTGCCATTTATGTCAGCCAAGCATCACACTAAGCTTCTTCCTCAGACACCCTTATAATAATAATTTTAAATGAATTTAACCAGAGTGACAATAAAGTAGAATGTCATTCACATGGTAGGTCTGTGAGTATTTTTCTAATATAATGTACATACCCAGGAGCAAAGATTTTGTCTGTTTCATATGTAATACATTTCCTCTGCTAAACAACCCCATGTCATGTTTGGATGGTGGAAATTGAAACAGACATATAGTTGGTTTGTATCACAAGTGTGTGTATGTGCAGATACACGGGCAGGGCACTCACTTTCTTGGTCCCCGGCACATACAATGTACACATATGCGTATTGTAGGCACATGCACACATTCCTTCCGAGTTAGTGTGATCAGAGGGTTTTGTGAGGCGTAATGAATTTTTAAAAGTTGTGTTTTCAATACATGTGTGCCAGCCTTCCCTTTTGTACTGTACAGAGTGGCTCACATTAAAGGCATTTCTCTGCAGCACATGACAACCAGATATGTGGCTCCATGCTCCTTCAATCAGAGAGCTCAAAGCAAACACACATGTAGCCGCTCCACTGACAGATCACTGAACTTCACTCACACATTCATACAAACGCACTGACACACACTCACACATGGAAATATAGCCAGTCCTGCTAACTTTCCTCCTTCTCTAAATCTCTCTCTGTCACACACAGACATACAAATGAACAAAACAGCCAAACACACATTTTTCTAGCCTGCTGTCTAAGGCTGCACCACCTGTCCTTAATAAATGTAACTTTTCACGAGACAGCTAAAGACAACGGCTGATCCTGCTTTAAAACACACCTCAGGACTGATGTCTATATAACACTCATGTGCAGAGATGCACATGTGAACAGGTGAGCGTAGAAAAGGGCCTAATACAGTATTAGACACAGGTTTCTGCTGCAGCAAACAAGCTGCTGTGCAGGGTGATGGAAATGCGCACATGAAGCACTGAGCGAACTGCGCCAATGTTAATAAAAAACCCTTCATCATATACTTTTATAGGCTGCGTGTGTAGTCACTACCAAAAACGCTTGTTTAAATAATGAATAATACTGCAGTAGTAAAGTCTTTTTTTAACTGATAAGAAATGCATTTTATTAATGTAGAAGTAATGGCATGAGGTTAGACAGAGTGTGATCCGATGTGACCTTTTACAATTTGAAAGGAAAACATAAAGTAAATAAATAAATAAGATATACATACTTTGTGGATATAATGTTTTATATAAAGAAAAATAGCTGAGTTTGAGACTAACTTCATTTCCAGAATCTCCTCCAGCTGTTTCCGTCGCTCATGGCGAAGACTGTTGAGGTGCCCGTCTCTCTCATGCAGGGACTGCTGGGTGGAGGACAGATGCAGCTTGGTGGCATCAAGCTCCTGACGTGTCTTCTCTAAAGCCCCCATCAGCTCCTCCAACTATTCAAGGGGATAACAATATGATCAGGTTAAAACATCACCAAATGTATCAGGTTACTAGCCCTCATTTCTCTGTGTCCATTAAATCATTTAGTATTTCATAATAATATTAAGAATACAAGATATATTATATACTCGCAGTTTCACTCACACACACATGGACATAAAGTAATGAATTACACATGTATTTGAACTTGTATTTGTCTTTGAGTATTTTTTAGATGTTATTTTGCTTTGAAAATGGCCAGATGTAATCTAGGAGCAGGTGAAATTACTGAGGTTTAAAGGTGATATGATATGTCCACTGACCCTTGGACTGGAAACAAGAGTTCCCTCTTGTCTCCCACCTTTCTCCACTCATTTGATCTCACTCTCAAGTGTGGCTCTACTTTAGAGCAGGTGAGAATAATGCTCAACCCCTCAACTACGTCTCCTCCCTCTGCACACACATGCCCTCCAGCCATGCAGGCCAACCTGCGTGTCTGAAAGACAGGATGTGACCTTAGGGCATCAATTATTCTAAGACAGGAAGTCACTAATTGTCTAACAACAAGTACTTTACAATAGGATGTAGTACTAGGCTGTCTTGCTCGTAAGATGTAAATGGAAGGTCACAAACATTTAAATGTGTCTTTGTTTTGATGATTTGTAGGTGTGTTATATAATATAGTAAAGCAATAATTTCTGGTGTTGGACCTCAAATGAACAAAGGGAAAGAAAATGAAAAAAAGAAGCAAAAAAGAAAGGGAGTATTAGGGGAAAGCACTCCATGGGGTAGGACATGCAAAAAGGAATGGGCCTCTTTTATGAAGGGGCCAAATCGTTCACACATTTTCAGGACACTCTCGATCTCCGCTGGTTTTCTAGGTGTGTTTCACAGATGTCAGATAATGTGCTCACTGACTGGTCATGAATATCACATATGGAGTCAGAGAAGAAAGGGTGAAAGCAAGCCGGGAATACGGATATTTGAAATGGTGGGAAAGTGACAACTCTCAGTCATGAAGCCCTCAGAAGCATTGTTTTAAATATAATACACCCTATATCCCTGCCAACAACAACTGACCTCTGCAGTAACCAGCAGATAATATAACCAATATCAACAAGACATCCAGCTGTCCAAAATCACACCCTGTTTAAATGTTGGATTTTTTCTTTGAGGCTTTAAAACAATCCAAAGCCAATCTTTGTATCTTCAAAGCCAAAGGTCACACACACACAACTCCATTTACACCCACCACATGTCTATCAACCCTCATGCACCTACTGCCTACCTCCCAATCCCCCATCAGTCCACCACCCAGGCTAGCTTGCACTTCACAATCACATCATTAATAAGGAATACAATGCATTTTAGTGAAATTAGGGACCTAATCAGCTTAGCGGTGGGCCTGTGCGTGCTAATTTAGCTCAACTTCAAGGCAAAGCCCGCCAGCCAGGCTAAGGCTCACTAAGACTGGCCCAAAGCCCCTTTAGTTGTTAAGCTGATTGGGGGCTCAGAGGTAAGGGCCAAATCCCTCTTGTCCATTTGCGTCGGTGTTGCTGGTTCAGAGGCCTAGTTCAAACGGCAAAGAGGGGGAGAGAGGGAGAGACACAGGAACTTAGATTGAGAGAAAGGGATAGAGAGGGTGGAGATGATTGGTTGAGACAACTTAAGAAGGCAGATGGGAAACAACGAGGTTTGGGGACGAAGAGTGGACAGGGGAGATGATGGCAGGAGAAGGACAAGAGACAGAGAGAGGCAGAGACGGGGTGAGAGACTTAGAGGGGGTGTGAAGAAAAGCGACCCGGGGCATTACCCATGCTCCATTTCAGCAGGTCAGGCTGATGGAGGACTTGTTTCAGCGCATTACACATCATGAGGCTGATTACTCCGGGACAGAGGGGAGAAGAAAGAGGAAAAGCCAAGGAAAGAGTTTGTGGGGGAGGGGAGGGGGGGGAGGGGGGGGGAGGGTGATGTGAGAATGTGAGTCTGGCAGCGCGCTCTGAAACGGTGCCAGGGTCAGGTGATGTTTCAGAAGGACCTGTCCCCCTCTCTGGTCCCCCAATATCCCTTTCCACACACACACTATGTTTCTCTGCAGTCTGAGGCGAGAGTGGTAGTTGACTGATGACTGTGTAACTGCATGTTAATGGCATGTTGACTCGCTGCCTCCGTGTGCAGTGACGTCTTTCTGGCTCACAAAGTTCAGCGTGTTAACAGAACCTACTGTAGCAGTGAGCATCAATGCTGAGAGTAACAGTGCCACATGGGGACCTTTCCTCGTATCAGTGCCGGCTCAATACGTGTCAAGTGCAGTCGCTAGTATGACTGCATGCTGCCTCGTTATATTCTCTATGTGAAGGATGTGGATTGACTTGAAACAAAGGCAATTTCAATACAAGTTTTGGGTCAATGAGTTTATCCTGACACAAGTTAAAAAACAACCTTTTCTGGCTAGACAGAGGTAAACTTTGGTCAATGCTGAATCATTCACTTTACTCATGCAAAAGTCCCACAGACATAAATAAACTTTTCCTTTGGACTTCTCTGTGAATCAGAATAATGTTTGATAAACACAGTATCCATGCTGACGGTAAGTCAAGCGTGCAAAGTCCAGAAATTGCAAAAATGAAGAAGAAAAACAGCCAGAGTTAGTATTGGCTCTCACAGACTTTTCTAAACCTCCTATTTGCCTGTTTTGTGCAGCAATCTCCTCGCTTCATCTTTAAAGTTTTCTCAATAAGGTTCTGTCTTTGAACGCACCCTTTGTGTGGGTGAAAGCCTATAAATGTGTGTTTGAAGCAATGCAGCACCATTCTCCCTCCAAATGTTAGTTCTTGTTCTAACCGCCAATTGCTCTCATATTACTTGTGGCACTCATCAGTAATGCAAGGTCATTCTCATTCAAATGCACACTCACACCAAGAGGAAACACACTCCCTTGCCCTGTTTCTCTTTCCCACCACAGACACACCTATGCTCTCTCTCACACACACACAAACACACATTGCAAAACGCACACAATTACACTTTTTGGACCCACTTAAAGAGTTAGACTGGCCGGCTGGCAGTCAGACAGACAGATATACTGAGTAAAAGGGCAGCCTGTACTCCATCAAGACTACAAGTCTATAGATGTGTTAATGAATTCCGATTGCATGCTCATGCACTCACAATATGCAAATAGCAAACTTAACAAGAGACAGAAATGAAAGGATGCTGGGAGATTTTGTTTCAGTTTTTAAGAGGTAGAAAATAAACAAGTGCATGTTTAGAGAATACAACTAAATTAGGCAGAGAATAAATATAACAGACAGAAACCAAAACACAATGATCCCATTTTTGTAATGATATTTGTTGGTTAAAAACTACATATTAAGGGATTATGGATCATTCATCATCCACAGTCTGCCTGCAGTTCCACTCTAAGCCACATGGGGGTGCAGTTAAGTTCTTCACATTTTCTCAATAGTCTGTTGTAGATCAAGCTCAGATGCATGAGACTATCTGTGTGTATGTGTATGCTGGTCCTAAGTCTTCCATCAATGTGTTAAGCTTCAGGTACACCTGTCTCTGGGACTGGACACGGGCTGTCTCCTCCTGCGCCCAGAGAGCCTCCCTATGTGCAGAGGTGTTCATGCTCTCCCCCAGTGACCTCTCCAACTCTCTGATCCGATCCGCAGTCTCCCGCATGGCATCCTGGGAAGCTGAGAGAGGAAGCTAAGGGGGCGAGAGAAGTTCAGAGAAGGAGGTCGAGGAGGAGGGTTGGAAGCCAAATAGCAAAAGGCAGAGGGAGAGTGTTTATCTTTGAGAATACTTTGCTTTGAAAAATCATCACTAAATGTTTTTGCATTGGAATAATATTATACTAGCAAAAGATAATTTAAGAAAGGGTGTTTTTATTTCATCCCTTTGCGAAAAGAGAAATCCAGTCCATGTAAAACAGAATCAAGAGAAAAGACTTGAGGAAGTAAAAAAGCTGAGGCAAGAGAAGAACAAGACTTCACTCAGAAGAAGGAGACACAGCCAAGACGAAGAGAGTGATAAGTGATGGAGAGATAGAGTGTGTAAGTGCTGTGACCTTTGCCAACATCTATATGAGTGTGCAGCGTGTGCTTATGTGAGAGTGTGGCTGTGTGGAGTAGACCGTGCACGATCACATGCACAGTTTGTGTGTGGCCTCTCTGACACCTACGGTGAGTGGGGGAAAAGGATCCCTCTCCACACTGGGTGATGGAACTGTGAAAGAAAACACTGGACTGAAATAATAAACCCCCCTCTCTCTCTCTCTCGTCTTCTTTTTCAAAAAACTCTCTCCTGCTCCTTAATAGTTGACTTTCCTTCAAGTTCACACGTTCACACTTTTCTGGGAGCAGTGCAGAGGCCTCGGAGTCACATGGATAAGCAGACACTTCTCAAACTGAACCAATTAGAGTTCAGTTGTACTTGTTGCAAAACAAAAGCTAGGGGTTTGCCAAGAGGTTACTTACAAAATCCCAAATAGCCAAAAATACAAGATCAGATGTTGTAGGAGGTACTATATAAGTCACAATCTGATATGAAGAATTAAACACTTGTAAAGCCACTGATTGCACCACCGCACATAAAGTGAAGTAGCAACACTGATGTAATCATTTCGAATAACAATGGTAACATACATACTCTGCATGAGTCGGAGCAGATATCTGCCATCACAACAAAACAGAAGATGAAAAAAATGATGTGTTGAGGGTAAGAATCAGCACTGGAGGCTTCAACACCACAAACTTGATAACACACTTGTAGAAGCATGAATATAATTAATATGACACGGCACGGGCAACAAGTTGCAATTAGGTGTGTCGGAGCAACACACATTGTCGGGAGCAAGGAGCTCTTAAATGTAATCTCAGAAGCCTCTGCATGTCAATGCTAGTTTGAGAGTCGAGGATGCTTAGAAACCATTTTAGATTTGCCGGAATAGAACTGATGTGTGGAGTTCAACGTTAATGTGCCTGTGTCTAACATTATTATTAAGTCTGACAGTAATCTGAATAGGCAGTATTGTATATAAGAAGCTCCAGGCTAAATAGTACCTCACACATGGTGAAACTATTTTGATGGCAAAAAACGAATTATGCTAAACGCATGGAAAACAGAAAAGAGTCAAGTGAAAGTAATTTTACAAGACAGTGCCTGAAACACGCAAGACGCATGTGGACTGCCTTTTAACTGCCCCTAATCTGTGAATATTAAGCGAATATTGACTTTGTACCTGATAATGGTGAAGCTAACTCTTCGAATTCAATGGTAAAAATGAAATAGCTTGACTCCTTCATGAAAGCTACTTTTGATGACCAAAGAAATCAACTCACTTATTCAGTGGTACAGACTTAAAAACCAGTGGTTGGATTATCCCTGAGTGTGATGAAAAGAATTCCGCCAATGCAGCCAAATCACAAGCGGATACTTGTGGCTCGTCACGTCAGCACGACACAGCTGGAGGTGAGCGACAAACACCGCACGCACACGTACAGAGGCAGGCTGTGTGCATCAACAGTCCAAAGTCATAATTAGATGTGACAGACGGGCAGTAATTCGATGCAACAGAATCAACAAGTACTGGTCTGACCCTGCCTAACAGACAGAAACACACACATGCACACACACACGCACCCCACTGAGATGGGGCTGCCACCGCTGGACCCCCAAGTGAAACCTGACCAAAAAACTGTGTCTGTCTCTGTGTGTGTGCATTTGTGTAGTATATGTGTCTGTCTGTCTGTCTGTCTGTGTCAGTGCATGTCTGCGTGTTACTTGAGTTTTATTAGTAACAAGAGAATATTGCTGGCTTTCACATACAAAGAATGGAAAAAAAGGCAAGAGAGATAGAGAGATTCAGAGAGTGGGGAGAAATGGAAAGATAATTGCCTCTGCAGCGCCAATCATCACCTAATGCCCTGGGGAAGGATCATTATGGAGTCTAGCCCTTTCTGGTTTGATGGAGGGATTATAATCACTAAAATAAACGAGCGGAGAGTGAGAGAATGCACATTTCCAGCAGCTTTGTACCTATGATCCTAAGCTTCACACACACAGGCACAAAAACCACACAGACATCTGTTTCTGTCAAAAACGTTAAATGCGCGCCATCACTTTCTGTGTGTCCCATTTCATGTTTAAAACATGTTAAGCATGTGTGCATGGCCAGAAGTTTCATATACAGTTTCAGTCAAATCTACAGGTTGTGGGAACAAGCTTAGAAGGAATGAAAATCCTGAAATGTGTCGATGTTCTTTAACTTTCCCCAGGTTTAAAAAAAAAAAAAAGACCTTTCTATAATCCTAGTGTCTCTAAATAGAGGTGGGTATCGAGTGTCATTGATGCCCCTTTGTTACAGATAAGAGAGAAATAAAGGCCTGTGTGAAGGCTTTGAAAGTGAACATTTCCGACGAGAGTTTTCTCTGTGTTTGTGAAGTGCAGCGTGGCGCGATGGAGACGATGAAGCGGAGAGATGCTATCACCACATCCCACATAAACTCTCCTGGATGGAGAAGGAGGGGGAGCACTGAGGGAAGGCACTGTTTGTTTGTGTTTACCCTCGGAGCGTGCTGTGTTCCTGATGGAACCAGAGATACATCTAGAGAGAGAGCAAACAGGGCAAGTAGAGCCAGATATGGGTCCACGATGCAACCTGACTGCCGAGCAAACACAATTTGCAGAATGCACACTGTACTTAATCATACTGTTCTGGATATTTGTGTACCAAAATGCCAATGTTTGTGAGGTTCTCCCATTACACAGTTGATTTCAACGAAAACACAGGTTTATTTTTCCACTGTAAAGCTGGTAAATGCTAACAGCACATCTGATCACAATTCATTAATGAACAAATACACCGTTTGGATAAAAAAAAAAACAAGGCTTCAGTCATCTCTGGAACTTTCCATTTAGCTATTTCTGTGGACGTCATCTATCTCCCTGACATCAGTTCCACCACTCCCCTGCACACGTACCTGTACCTACTTCTTTCTTTCTGGCACTCAGTGCATGTCTCTTTCCAGGTTGTAGCAATATTAATGTGTGCTACTCAGACAGTGTTTAGAAGAGGAAATAGGATGTTGGATGCTGCTTGCCAGCACACACAAAAATAACAAAATAACTCGACCAAAAACATACTGCGAGCAGCTCTGGTTCTTTTTGGCAGAGAGTTACAGAGAGGTGTACTCTACTTCATTGGTCCTGTGGGAATAACCTGGCATTGCTACACTCTGCATATTAACACCCCAGCATAGCTGTGCAAGCTTACACAAGCATGTACAGAGACACAGATGCACTGTCAAGCGAACAGCTGACACTCATGTTGACCTCTGAAAAGAACTATAAAATGACAGAAAATGATGTTACATCAAGATGCTCTCTCCTGCCTGACTCGTCAGTTCTGACTATTCACTTCTGAGCCATTATGCCGCAGCTCCTTGCTAGCATATGGAGCTGATTTCTGTAGGACTAAATGCCTATCTCTTCCACCTAGGGCTGACTCTCAGATGCATTCAGGGAGGCAAGACTGGAAAATGTCTTTCTCTGTTCAAAAGAACAGAGTTATACAAAAAGGATGAATCTAGAGAGCAATAGATGAAGGGAAAAAGATGATACTTAGAGAATAGTCTTGCAGAGAGGTGAATAGGAAAATAAGAGGAGAGACTAGGGCAGTATACATTAGTACAGTAAAAATGAATTGACACATGAACGCACACACATATCCAAACCTGCGATAAAGAGTGTGGATGTCCATCAATCAGGCCATCTTTCCTCATCTCACCCGCCACTGTCTGCTTCTGGATGTTAGGGGACTTGACTTGCCTTCAGAGACAGGAAAATGATGTCACAAAAAGAGATGCTCAATAAAGAATTGTTAATTAATCATTGAAACAAAGAAGAAAGTGCATGACCATAGTGTAGTCCTGAAGGTAAAGATGTAAGCACATAGCCTATACACAATATACAGTAGCCACAATTATTTAAAATACAATTTCCTTAACCATTACAATTTTTTCTGCTTTTATTGGGATTTGAATAATGATTTTTGACCATAATGTATATCTACTAAGAGATTTTTTTTGGTGGTAGGAATAGAGTGTGTATAGTAAAGCTGGTAAGTACTGTGTGTATGTCTTGTCTTAGTCTTGGAAGATTGGAACAAGACGAGACTTGACTGATGGAGGTGAGACACTGCAGTGTAAATCTTTCAACAACAAAACACACAAACACATGCAGACAGGAGATGCAAGCACATTCTCGCACACACACATGCTCAACAGCAGATATGTGCAATAAGTCTACAGATCAAAAGGTAGGATGACACGGGCACATATACAAGGGCATTTGCTTTTAGAAAATAAAGTCTATATACTCTGCCAGGAGCTCTCACACACAGGATAATACATCTGCTGTCAGTGCTGTGCATGCTGAGGTCCTGATAACAGAGCCTAACCGTGTATTACCCAGCCAGGATGGCTTTATATTTAACTCAAAACAATGACTACTTCCTGTCATTTACTGAACTTATGTTGCCAGAAATGTATGGCCCTCACTCGAAATAAAAATATGTGTGTATACATATACAAATATGCATTTACAAACACTCACACTCAATACAACCCTCCATGGTGCAAACACATGTGATCCCACAAAGCCCATTCACCATAGGACACACACAGCTGCGCCTACACAAACGCAATCTATATCTTCTCACGAGTACTCTCAAAATAGAATCAAAACACACTCTTCGAGCTCCTCGTTTGGCCTTCACACTTGAAAAAAAAAACATGCGTAGAAGTGTGAAAAAGCTGACAGTGACAAATTAGCGCTTAAGAGAACCCTCTAACACTGTAAACAGGCTGTGACCAAGCAGCTGCTTAAAGCGCCACATTATTATTCCATATCCACACGGGTGTGTTTGCTCTGGGAAAAACATACAAGCTGCCCCCACATATGGGCAAATACTTGCTGTCAGCGCGCTTAGAATGGTATGTGTGTCAGTTTTTATGAGTTATGTTGGTTTGCAATTAATGTAAATTATAACTAACATTCATAGATGATGAATACAGTTACACACATCTCCACACACACACCATATTAATATCTGATAATGTTCCCCTAGTACTATAGCACAGCTTTGGTCAGTTTGTTAAGCCCGTATTTTCATGTGTCTGGCTAACTTCTTTATTACTTTTTTTAAGACTTTGCTGTTGATTTTATATGTTGTTATCACTTTTACGAGTGGGTTTTGAAAAGTGCTCCTTAAATAAAGATCATCATTAAATTCTGATAGCTTTATTTATCAAAGGTCGGTACACACATTATGTACATGTGCACACATATTTACCCAGTGGAGAAGAGGAGGCGAATCATCTGTTTATACTTCAAACTTTGATGTCTGTGAGTGTGTGTTTTTATAAGCTCACAGGCATGTCCATGGAAGGCAAAGTTGCCATGAGGGCATATCAGCTATCACACACAGCCAGCACGTGCACAGGTGTATAAACCAGCAGACACGCTGGTCCCTTTTGATAGCTGATATACCCCCATCAACCCATCAGTGCGAAATGAAGTAAATGTTTTGACCAATGTGAAGGCAAATGAGGGCACGTAGAGTGTGAATAATGAGAAGACGGGCTGGGCTGTATGCGAGTGGAAAATATGAAGGAGAACTGTGATTTGTTGAGTACCAGAAGGAGAAAATTCATAGAGGGAAAATAGTATTTTATGGCTGTGACATTTCAAAGAAAGATGAAGTGAGACACAGAGAGAGAGAGAGAGAGAGAGAGAGAGAGAGAGAGAGAGAGAGAGAGAGAGAGAGAGAGAGAGAGAGAGAGAGCATTGTGCATGAATCCAGCCACTTCCTAAACTACGTGTAATAAGTAATTTTCACATTTCCTCTTGCTTCTTTCACCTGGAGCGTTGCACACATCTGCCTTCCAACATAAGCATCCCCGCTTTATTCCTGGCGGTCAAAACACAGCTCTTTCTTTTACCTTGTATATCTCTCTTTATACATATTTTTATTTGTTGTTCTTATCTCATCAACTCTCTCTTTTTCATCAACTCTTTAACTCTCCTTTACTTGTTTTTCACTAACTTGCCGGTCTTACAACTCACATCCTTTTAGAATGACATTGAGAAAATACAAATAAAGTGAATAATTAATCCTCAAGGAGTATTGCTCACACGCCTTTGAGCATGGCACAAAAAGGAGGTGAATGGCTTCAGTCGAGCTGCTGAGTTGCCAACAGTCGGAAGCTGCGGTCACAATGGGACTCTCCCAGATCTGAATGTGGGAAACTGTGCCTTTTAAATAGGGTGTTTCTTAAAAAGAGTCTGTATTCTCAGTTGACTTTTCATGGTTGAATAAAGGTTAAAGGTAGTAATAACCTTAAAAGGAAAAAAAGATTTGTATCTCCCCTTCATAAGTCTTAATTCTTACTGTGTCTCCTTCTCCTCTCTTTTAATAAACAGTAGAGTGAAATCAAATCCTCTGATTTCAAGGTTTGCACAATATATGGAATAAGGGGAAGATATGATCAGAAATAAATGCATTTTCTCTGTTGTGCAAAAAAGAAAGTGCAGGAGAAGAAGAAAGAAGGAAAAGAGACAAGGTACTATTAGGCAATCTGGGGATTTATCTGAGGCGCATGTCATGCAGTGCTGAGAGATCTAACAAGTCTGGTTATTACAAATAGATGCTTTATTGTGCTTAGGCATGTATTATTGCAATATAATATATATATATAATACCATATAGCTCTTGCTTTCTTATCATGTCTGCGTGTAGATGACAGGGTGAAATCAAAAGGAGGTTTAAAAAATAAAGAAGTGGTTGGTCTGCTTGTTTGTCTAAATGCTTAAATGTAAGAGGATAGTGTTTACATTTGATATGTATGGAATGAGAAACCTATGCAGCTTTTCTATTTTCTACAGTCAATCAGGAAGTTGACAGGTATTTTTCAAAGCTAAAATGGACTTAGAAATTGGATGGACAGCTGCAAAAAATACACTGAGTTTTGATTATGGGCATAGGAATAAGGCCCAACATAACATGTGTGTCTTTTTTTGCGCAAACTGTTGTTTTTTAGCAAATTAATATTTGTCCTAACCGTCAATTCCTATATAACAACCAACAGACCCTCACCATCAACGTGTATGCTCCTCAGTGTCAGCCTAGACACACACGTGCACACTCACACACATATAGTGCATACATAAGTTCACATATACACAAACCTCCTTTTTCCTGAAACCCTCCCTTACATACCAGAGTGCTTACCACTTCAATAGCTGTGACATGGTGAAACTCGGAGGCTGATTTATTTCTCGAAATCTAGCTCCCACATTTCCACAGCAACGTGAAAACTATAGGACTGTAACAGCATTAAGAAATATACAAAATAAATCCACTGGTTTACAATTTATAGCCGTAAGGGAAAGAAAAGGAAAATACAAAAAGGCTTTAAATTCACCCAACACATACATTTTCTTTTTTTCTTTCCATGTTTGAACAACCTTTGTAACTAACTGGAGATTCTTCAAAGCACCAAACTCATAATAACACACTTATGGCTGATGAAAGTACTACTTCATTAAATTCATAGGGAAATTATCAGAATGATTCACTCCTAATGTTTCATACTAAGACACTTTTTCATTTTAGTCTACCATATGTGCACAGACTGCTCCAAGAGATCTGTAACCACCACGGCTTCCAGGGCTCTACTTAACAAATCCAACTACTTGCATTAGTGTTAACAGCTGATACAGATGCTTTCCTCAAAGCCTGTTCAGTGTCTCTGATCACTTAGCCAGATTAGCTAGGATTTGCACCTACACACAAAGCAGTAAATAAAACACTAACAATAAACTACCTGATGTTATCACTGAAGACTTACAGTACAGTAGATCACGAGGAGCTCTAGGCAATGAAAGAGCTGTGAGTGAGCCTCCCTTGTGCTGGAAGGTATTTATTACAATGACCTGCTGACTACATTCATCTTTGACTCTCTCTGCAGCACTGCCAACTGGATGAGAAAGTGTATATTCCCTCATCTGTTCTTCTCTCTCTCCATTCAGATAGTGGTTAATAGGCCATCTGACTGAGTTCCAACAGAAACAGTCTGATTAAAAAGACATCCATCCTCTGCCCAGACACGTCTTGCACTGTCTTACACAGAAGTCCAATCAGCACACACACACAACTGTCCACCCATGCTGTCACGTAGCAACATGTGCACAGAAACACACAAGCTTGTCTGTGTCAAATGTATTTGTTTAATCAGAATTTCCAGTGATAAAATAAAAAGATTATAACTATAATACGTGGATGCTCCACTGTATTCTACAGATGGCATTTAACTTACATAAAGTGAAAATGAAGTGTTCATAAAACAGCAATTTCTTGGGTTCTGCCTTCGTTGCATATCATAGAACTCCCACCTTGCCCCTCCCTCTCCATTTCTACACTGTCCTCTGTCAAGTAAAGGTCGAAATGCAAAAAAAAATGTATTTTATTTACATTACAGCAGCAGTGTTTAACTGCAGTGGATCCTCCTCTGATAACCTGCAGCTGACATGTATTTGACCTCTGACCCCTACAGACAAATAGAAGTGACTGTCTGACATGAGACAGCACCTCGATACGATAGACACATTGAGGTGAACTCTTCAACCTCCTGACCCCAAACACTGCACACAGGAACTAACTTACAGTGAGCACACACATGTGCATGCGCACACTCTGGTTACAGGTGCATGTGAGTAGCAGACATGTACTGTAGAGGTTGTTATGACGCATGCACAAACACATTGAAACAGAGAGTAAACTGTGTGAACAAAGTCTGCGGGAGCTACTGTATCCCTGTTATACTTAATACCCATGCGTTCCCACACAGTTTGAGTCAGCACACGGTATCCCTGCCAGAGTGCAGTCTGTAAAACGGGTAATGAATGAGGCAGGAAACTATGTTGGATTCAGTACATACAGCCTAACCAGATGCATTAAAAGCCATTCAGAACTATATCGAACCTTAGGGGCCAGCTTGTGTTGAAATAAAATGTTTTTGCACATACTTCTTTCACATTCATGGTTTCTTTTGTGCAGTTGGCGATTGACCAATAGAGAAAGCTCCCACTGTCAATCTACACACATGCCAATGGGCACACAAACAGCTTCAAGTCAAGATCCACTTTGTACGGAAACAAGACACACAAAAACATAATTTTCCCCTACTTTTTTGCACATGCACACATGAAGTGAATACACACACAGACACCAACTTGCAGTACCTTTGTGTTGGCACTAACTAACCTCTCATTTGGGCATATATACAAAACATGCCAATCCATAAATCAGATGATAATTGAGTAGTACTGTGCCAGTAATAAACAGAGTAGTATAAACAGCCAGTTTCTGGGCTGGATACACCACCTCCCACCGGCATGCTGCTGGCTGCCTTCCTGGCAAACTCAAATACACACAAACACACACATACACAGGCAGGCACACAAACACACAGACATGCACACGCATAGACATTCACACACACACACACACACACACACACACACACACACACACACACACACACACACACACACACACACACACACACACACACACACACACACACACACACACACACACACACACACACACACACACACATACACACGCTGAATGCCTTTACAGTAATGCAAAGACATACCCAAAACCACTTACCTGTTGGGTTTACAGCCACGTATGTGAAAACACGGAATGACATGAAGAAAAACACACATGATAGCAATGAAATGGGAAGAAGCTTAGCGGAATTCCACACAACAGAGAGGCTATAAGTCTCCAGTGACATATAAAGTCTCTCATTGTGTTATTGCGGTGGCAGGAATAAGGACCGAGATTGTTTGCTGTAAATTACAGTAATTTACTGTCCCACTGGGATAGTCAATTCTCCCTGGGAATTAGGTTTGAGCCAAAATTCCTCAATTTCCAACTTTATACCTGGGAACATTTATAATAACCTAAAATGTCATTCCATGATGTCACAAGTGATGGCTACTGACAGTGTTGGTGATATTAAGAAATACTTACCCAGGTCTGCAGATACATGAAACAAATGATAAGAAATTAAACCAAGTGATTAAAAACCTCACGTGCATAGGTCACAATGTGCATTTCTAGTTTCTAGTGTGATTACATCAGGCAAAAGGCATGACAGCGTGGAAGTGGTTTCAAGTGCAGGGAGGACACAATCTAGACAGTTTATGTCTCATGGATTACTCTTTTATAAATACACCACTTAGGAAAGATTTGAGATCTGAGAAAGATCCGGTCACTTGGAAGGACACTGCTCTCTGAGGACACCCACATGGTGTGTTGTTATGGATATATGTATGATTGAAGTTTGGACCCTCACCTCTCAAGGTCAGCAATTTTCTTCTCCTTGAGCAATTTGTCCATTTCAGCATCCCTCAGAGCCATCATTAGCCTCTCAACCTCCACTTGTGATTTCCCAGAATCCTCTTTGTTGCGAGCCACTTCCTGCTCCAGAAGCCTCAGACGGTCTGTGATGTCTGGACACTTCCGGACTGCTTCTTCAATGTTTTGGGTCTTGGGGGGAAGAAGAGGATACATGAGAGAAAGTAATATCCTGCATGGATTATTTAGGCCATCTCATACAAGGCTTTTCAAGGGCTGCTCTTTTTAAAGATTATTTTCAGACATAACTTTACGTTTAAACTTTGTCATATACTTCAACACACATTAGCCTAAGCTGGTCTTTGTCAGCAAATAACACGCTCTTCTTCTGTACTCCTTATAAACCACCTACATATTTATTTTAATTTCAGCATTGCAAAATATGAATTAACTAAGTTAGTTAGTCAATAGAATGTACAACACAATTATGAAGTTGCACCTTAAAAAACTATATATTTCAAGTGAAAAAACTAAAATTGTACTTGTATCATGGCATGATAGAATTATGGAAAATATTGCTACTTTGTTAACTGTAAGTATTAGCATGCTATCCTGTTTCAGGTGAAAGGCCAACTCTAGGGGATAAAAGCTGAGCGTAACAAAGGACACCTGAAGCTAATAAACTACAAGTGAGGCTGTGGTGCAGCTGAAGTCTGACCAAGCAGAGTTAAGAATGAAAGGGAACGGTTTAAACTGACAAAGGAAAGATATGACTGATGGACGTTGAGCTAAGCGTGACAAAATACAGCTCAGACAGATAAAAGTTAGTCTGGCAACAGAGAGCAGAGCATCTGAGAAGTCCTAAAATGGCCTCACACACACACACACACACACACACACACACACACACACACACACACACACACACACACACACACACACACACACACACACACACGAGCACCAACAACCAAGAAGCATTAAATACAGTAACATGACTTACTGTGGGGCTTCGTGCTGGGGGTCCATCTACTTTGGCTGTTACCTAGAAGGCAAAGTAAAAACAGAGTTTAAGAACCAGGTACAATATACAATTTTACATTTTCTAAGACTGAAGATTGGAGACTGACTGTAACTGTATACGAGGTCAGTTAGGAGATATTTCTGCAAATGTAACTTGAGTAATGGTAAGTCAGTCCTGAAGATGTGGTCAGGGTCACCGTCTATCGGAAGCAGAACCAGTCTGTGCCTTCATCCGCTCTCATCATTTCATCATTTCATCACCCCCCCCCCCCCTTCTCCTCTGCTGACTGATTTTGTGTGGTTTGTGTCTATCAGTTGCCTCCCTGGGGCGTCTGTCAGTAGAGTTTGGAGTTCAGTCATTATCATTATAAAATTACTGTCTCTCTCTGTTTGGCTGCGATTTTATGAGACCACCAAACCTCTGAAAAAGTAAAATGTTGAAAAAAACAGAGAAACACTGATGAATTCTTTCTTCTCTGAGAAAAATATCCCAGAGGAAGTTTGTACCCTAGAATTATCTTTCTCCCTACTTGTCTCTGTTTCGCTTGGTCTTTACTCTCTGTCTACTGTGTTTGTGAAGATTGGTTAACTTGTTGAAACAGCTGAGGCCACTCGTTTAAACATCATCAAGTGAGAGCGCACAAACACACACATACACTCACACACATACACTCACACACATACACTCACACACAGCAATTTATTGTCAGGTCTACATAGGTCTGGGACTGTACATGTAGCTATGCTTGAGTCTGTTATTAAAAACAAAACAAAGAATGACTGTCCATACCGCTAGCCAATTCATTACCATTTTTAAAAAAAAACACTAGATGAACCAATTGTATAAATGGGCCTCTGTATATGGGAGATACAGCCATGGGCACATGTTTTTTAGATACAGTCAGGTAGCTCAGCAAAAAACCGTTTAACCATTTATTTAAAACACACACTTATAATGTCTATGACTTTAGTTTTATTTTAGTCCTGCCCCGGGTATATATGAGTTTGACTGACTTTCTACAATATATGTGCCACATGTGACCTAAAAAGCCCCATAAGCTTGTCACTGTACTGCATGTGTATACAGACGAATGCCTTTACTGGATATTAAAAACAGTGAACTAGAGATTGAAAACAAGTGAAAAAGGGGGAAAAATTGGTCCTCAGGAAGGAAAGCAGAGTCATTGTTTAACTCCTCCTCACCCCCATTACCTCTGCACCTAGCCTCACACACACATCAAACCCAATCTGAGCTTGCACAAAATGCATTAAGGCTAAGTAGACCAGAGTTTATGTTCTTACGTTGGAAAGTACAGAGAGGGGAAAAGCAGGGGCTAAAAGACGGCTGGTCCAACAGGAATTAGTGATATTATGACAGGAGGGGGAAGGCCAGTAAAGATACAATTACATATTTGGTCACTGAAATTATTATTATCATTCCTGGAAATGTCTCTGAACTGTAAATATTACAAATAAGTTAAATATGTGTGGCCACCATGGATCTAAACTGGGTCACAGGATACCCAGCACCTAGATCTTTTTTACTCCTGAGGGTAATAACTGTCTCGAGTATATAATATATCTTAGATATGACATCTTTCTATAAAGATAAGTCAGTGCAAACAATCAATGTCTGATAAATCTAGTCTTCATATTTTCTTCCAATACATTTTTTTAAAAGGAATAGGAAAAAGTTGCATGTATGTATCATAAGGATAATACATTTGCCTGGTTGGAAAAATTGTTTTTTTAATAGGACAAAAGCGAGTTGAGGTGTGGTGCCTCCTTGCTGATTTACGCCAACCCTCTCTGAAAAGGTCACAGCCTTCCCTTAGGTGCTTTACAATTTTCTCTTTGAAGAACTAGTGTTTAGTTTCAGAAGTCCTTTATTAACTTCGGAATCAACAAATACTGTTTTATGGGAAGTGGAAGAGGAGGCAGTGAAGTCAACAAAGCTGTGAGGTCAAGATAAAAAGATCCACTAATTGCTCGACTGAGTCAACAATACAAACATCTGCAGATACAGTGTGTGGGCCACAGCATAATCTGTAGGAGGTAAATGGCCGTCAGGCTAAAAGCTTATTCCTCAATTTTTTTATGAATTTCAGAAATATGAGATTATCGTCAATTGAGGCTATTGCTAATACAACTTTAGAGGTGTTTTAGAAGCTTTAAAGCATTTACTATAAGAAGCTGGTTTGCAAAATAAAATGTATTATTCAGATTTATTAATATTTTGTGGAGTGTCACAGCAATATTTAAATTGCAATTAACAAAAGGGATTGATGGTTTGAACACATTTTCTTAGGATTTTTTAAATGTAGCTAATTAAGACCAAACCTAATTTGCTGTCTAGTTTTAGGTCAACACTGGATGAATCTTTATAGCAGAAATATTTTTTTAAAGCAGTACAATAACATCGTTTTTTTTTCCGCCAACAAATGTCTGCCCATTTCAAGCAAACGATTGGAGACAAAACTATTATTGACTTCTGATGCCCCGTTTTTTCTACTCCATGATTGAAAGCTGAGCGACATTCTTGTTTTGAACTGGCTGTTTTAAAGAAAAAGGAAAAAATTAGCGGTGAAGTTTTGTATTGGTATTAAATCTACAGTGTCACACACACTTTTTGCTGCCCCCTCTGAATCTGGCGGCTCTGGTGAGGATTAGGCATCTTACTGGCGACAGGGGAGACAGATCGGGCCTTTCAGTTCCAGGGACAGGTGTAAAGGGTACCAAAGGATTTTCTCTGATGTAGAAACAATCAACAGTTGTATACATTTTAAATTACCGGTATGTTTTAAGCTTGTGAGGTTGCTTGAGGGGCACAGGGTGCGGTTTCACACGTACGTACGCACGCACACACGCACACACACGCACGCACGCACGCACGCACACACACACACACACACACACACACACACACACACACACACATACACACACATACAAACACATACACACACACACACACACACACACACACACACACACACACACACACACACACACACACACACACACACAGAGAGAGAGACCTGCTAAATGTCAGGCGCTCTGGTGCTACCTATGAAAATGTTTAGTCGCACTTGACAGACTTTTGGTAACACTCTGGAGCCCTGCTAAAGCAAATGGCGCGTGTGAACGTATATGTGTGTGTGGAGAGTCGGTTTGATCAGAATCTAATCTCAGGCACCATGTCAGTTCACCTCTGACCTACTGAGTATTACAGCCCTCACAACCTGTCACACTCCAACTGCACTGCAATAGGATCAAACACACTTTGTGACGGCTTTTGTGTCCAACTATTAGTTTTTGTTTTTATTTTATCGGGTGCCAGTCTGGAGATATCCTAGCAAAGGTTGTATAGGGAAAAATCTCAAGCAAACACAAATATTGTGTGCCTTAATTGTAAAATTAATTACATATACAACCTCAATAAAAGTAAACATTTGTAACACAAAGACCTTGAACAACAGTTTTAAGGTGTTTTTCAGTATTTTCAAATCATTATAAATTGCATTAAGAAAAATTACAGAGACAGTCTTCTTTGAAATAGGCAAACTAAATATGTTTCACTAAAACAATGACTAATCCTGTACTGTGACATTGTTAGGAAAGACACACACACACACACACACACACACACACACACACACACACACACACACACACACACACACACACACACACACACACAGACCAACAAAAAGCAGTTTGCATTCATCAGACATAAGGGTTTTACTGACTACTGTTTCTTTTAGGAAAGGCACATTTTTATGATGGCAATTTAAATGACTCGGTTAGACTTTGCTACAACTTAAACACATGCAGACACTCATATATCCGCACAAATATGCATTCAACAGTTTAGTCTGTGCTGGCAGGCATGCACAGGCACACAGAAATAAACACTCACACACACATACTAACAAATATATACACACAAACATCTGTGCTTTTGAATAATCTTCAAGTTTACATAACAGGTCTGATTGCTGTCGAGTACACAAAATATTCCAATTATGGCAACACTTCTGTCAGAGTGTGAATCTGCTGGCTACAAAGAGTTACTGAGATGCTTTGCTTTCATGTGGTGCCTCGTCAACATTCAACAAGATATAATTTCACAGGAATGAAATGTGTGTATGCTTTTTATGAGAATAAAAAAAACATTCTCATAAATTCTGGCAGGGCGAGATTCTGTCCTGGCTTGTAGGCCTTGGAGAGGAAAAAGAGGGAGAAAAAAGACAGCCAGGCTTTGACTTGGCACCTGAACAGGGATAGAGGGATCTTTTACGTCCATAAATCACTCTCCCTTAATTCATCCCTTTATCCTGTGGGACAAAGTGCAGGCAGGCCCTTTGCTAGGGAGTTGCTAACAATATTTTGGATGCGCACAGGGAGGTAAGAGAGTGGAATGACTATTACAGTAGATGTACGAAGTGTAAATACAGGGTGCAAGCAGGGTATTACACCAATGCAGAGTGGTTGTAAAGTTAATTATTTTCATTCTTTATGTACAATAAAATATAATTATAAAGTGTCTTGAAGTTCCTTTTGAGATTTCAGAAGTAAAATATTTCGAGAAATGTGTTTGTTTTATGAGGTCTGGCTCATTTAAGAGACTGACACAAGTGTGGAAGCATGTGCAATTCTGTTATGATGTGGATGCCGATGAAATATTGATTGCCGTTTGTCTGCAGTCCACACACATACCAGACTACCAATCCTGTGTACAGTGCTCATATCCACACGCAAAGTTTGAACCACAGGGTTTGTTTTGGATATTTTAAATTCAATGTAATACAATAGCCAACACATATTTACCTGAACTACCAACAATGCATGTCACGCACCTTTTTCTATTTACAAAACATCACATTCTATTACCTTGATCAAAATAATCCATACTGACCTCTTCATCAGGCTTCTGGTTTGTGGTCAGGACGGGGATGGCAGGCTGACTCTGAGTCAGTTTCAGGGGCTGCAGTACTGAAAGTTTGTCCTTTAATAGCTGGTTCTCCTTCCTCATCAGTTCCAGCTCCTCCATGCGAACCCTGTCTTCACGTTCCTTCTGATCGCGCAGATTCTCAATCACACGCTCCTGAGTTAGTAAAAGAACAACAGATAAGAGAGGTTTGATAAGAGATGGGAGTAGGAGTATAGTAGGGACAATAGTTATTATCTGCATAAATGTTTGTTCACATTTAAAAACTGTGGGTTTTGCTCCCAGTGTGTAAAAGATTTTCAGCCCTGTGTGATTACAGTTTTATTTTCCTATCATTATAAAAAAATCGGAACCAGTCTCTGGCTGCTTAGGCTTGCCAGCATGTCTTGCAAAATCAGGCCACAGACAAACTCATAAAAGGCCTGACATAAATAATAGGGCCATAAATAATAGCAGGGACAAGAGAAGATCAGAGCAAAGTAGAACACAGAGACGGAGGAAGTAGGAGAAGGGTTGAGGGACAGAGATAGATTTATTGAAAACAGGTTGGACAGAACAGTAGATCACATCCTAACGGCTTCTCATCACCTGCTATTAAACCAAGCTGGAGTGTTTACATCATCATGTTCTCTTTTCTTTAATCACACTGGACAGCAAGAGGACTAAGGATTTGGACATTGGCCTGAGACCAGGTCCACACCATGGGTGGCGAAGCATGCAAGGTGTGTGTAGTAGGTCGTGTTAAGGTGTATGTGTGTGTGTGTTTAGGTGTGGACTGAAGTGATTATCAAGGTGTTTACTCAGGTGTTTATTTAGGCATAGAGCACAGCTCAGCAATGACGCTTTACGATGTGGCATCGCCGCATGATTGGCAGCTTTAAACTTTGGGGTAATTGGACAAATACACCCACTAACTAGAACTGGCACAGTAATGCACTGCATAGTGAGCTATAGACGAGAGGGTGAGAGAGAACGAACAGAGGGAGAGAGACCACATGGCTAATAGGGCCTGGGTGTTTTCCCCACATTTTGAAATATCTCTAGGAAGGAGTTCAGGGAAAAAAGAGACCGGGATGTGATAATTAAATCTGTCTTTATAAGGCTTAAGTATGGAGCATACTTTATAAACAAAACACAAACGCACACACATAACATCACAGACAGGGACACACACACAAACAAACACACACACATACACATAAAAGCACCAAAGAGCAGGGCACGTTGGGCACAATGCCCTCGCCTGTTAATTAGAACCACAGTACTGTGGCTGGTGACTGGCTCCAAGAGCAGGTTTGTGACAGGGAGTATGATTAGCAACACACACACTCACTCTTGTAAACACATTACACACACCCTGTGTTGACCACAAAGTCTGAAAAGCTCGCCAATGTTCTCCTCATCACAGCTGAATTATATGTAGGCTGCATCAGAAGTGGTTTCTGGATAAACAGATGGACCAAGGCAGAAAAGGGATTTGCAGTTTATAATGCCATTATGCTATTCATTTCAAAGTCTGTCGGCAACAAAAACAAATTTAGGTGATAAAAGATCATTTTAAGTGAAAACATCTATGTACTGAATGAAAAACACATCAGCCAAGATCTTGTCTAAAAGAGTGATTTCTGAGAACACAAAGCATTTTTCCTTGTTGATTCAATGGATGCTAATTCAGTGTAGATCAGCCAAAGCACTTACCATTGTGCAAAAACACATATATTTTTATTGAGTGGGCACTGTAAGCCGACTCAGCGCTAATGATGTTCCTCCAATTTAGAATTGCTAAAATAAAAAACATAGAGTTGCTTTCATTAGATTGGAAATTGTTTGAACTTTGACCTAACTTTAACACCACCTTTCAAAATGTCAGTAATGAAGCATATCGCTAGTTCAGGCAGAGCACTGAAGTCACGCTTGTATTGGCTAATTGGGATCAGCTGTTTTCAGTTCGCTTAGCAATGATTGGCTCCCTCAGTTGTGGCTTGTAACATCCAATCTTTAGCAAGCAGACATACAGAGCAGATATCATAACCTTACGTTGTGTAGATGATGAAGCTCATGCTAATGCCATTTGCTGCCCCCAAACACTCCACCTCCCTAACCTCCTTTTCTTTTGTGTTTTATTTTTGGTTGATCTGACTGGGTAAACACAAGTAACACATGCTATTTTTACACACAGACATGTATAGGCATAAACATGCAAAAATAGACTATGTGCACATGGGAACACACTTAAAAAAGTGGCAGCCACGGGCAAAACAAGATATATGGCTGGACACCCACATCTGTCCTAACTGGGAACTCTATAAACTCTCAAGCAGCAGCCAGTGCCAACAAAATGTAAACCAGCATCCATCTTTTAGCCTGCAGTGCAAACAAACATGTAAATGGGAACCATTATTTAGCCTGCAGCGCCAAAGCATTCATTTTTTAAGACTTTAGTACCACAAACTTAAGCAAGATCGAGTCACACTGAAATCAAGCCAGTCAGTTCATGGTAGACTGTTTATACTGCCAGTCTATAATTTGACATCTCCATTGTCATTTACAGTTCAGTATATCCTATCAAATCTACCCTGTGTTCAAGCATGTCTCCAATTAGAACATCACTGGCAACCAGACAGCTAACTACATTGCAAAAGGTTTATGTAAAAGAAAAAAATCGTTTAGCTTTCAAGTTTCCCGTAGTTGCTATTTATCTGGGAATATGGCAAAATCAATGGGGTTATATTGGGTAACTGAGTCTGTGTGATGAAATGTACCACGTTTGACTTAAGTCAAAACACCACAGTAGCCAGCAAGACCATTCATCTTTAGTATAGTGAGGCTGAGGTGAGGCTCTATGGAGACCAGCTGCTCTCTCATGTTGCCAAAAAAACAACAAAAGCAACATGTTTACGATTAACATCCAGATCATACACTCACCCGTCCACGGATGTGAAGCGAGTCTGTTCAGTTCACCTTGATTCACATGGCAGTTCAGCTATGAGCTTTTATGCAGCATTGTGTCCAATACATATGGGTGCTCATTATACTATTTGCCTAGGCTGTGTAGGCTAGTAAATCAAAAAATCAATTATAATGATATTTTACTAACATTGGACCGGCATTGTATAAATTACATTGAGACTTTCCAGACTTGGTCTCTCTCCCATTATGTTCACACACGGTACCAGTTGCTAATCTTTTCTTCTATATGTGTGTGGCTGTTATCAGTTATTGAATTTCCATCCCAGTCTGATCCGTTGAAACTGTATTCCTCTTGCTAGCTCTGTTCTTTCTCTTCTTTTCTCATATGCCTAGCAGAAGTTACTAATTTTTTACTCAGCCTCCACCCATACATTCCTTGACCTCTCCCTCCCTTAATTCTGGGGCCACCTCTTCCATCAGGGCTGTGCCTCTTCTGCCATACGGCTTTTCCATCCCTCCATTCCTCCCCCTTTCAAAACTTCCATCCTCCTCTTATTCTATAGATCATCCCCTCCCTATGTTCGGCTTGGTTATAGACAGGGACTAATCCACTGTCTATGTTCACCTTAGACCTCCCCATCCCTTCTCTCCCTTACTGTTTTCTAAGAGGACCTCATCTCCTGTGGTCCCAGCTCTATAAATCTGGAGGTTGTGTCAGTAAATTATGGCAGTGAGTCATAACAAACCACGCAACTTAATTAAGCCGTATGCCGGATACCAGCTTACAGAAAGAGCAGTGTGCCTCAATAGGTAAACATTTACCGACTCTTGTGGTCAAATGGTTTCATTATGTGTGTTTTTTATTGTCTGCATCTCAAACCAAGATTTAGTTTTCTTCATTTATAGTGTGCATAATTCTTCACACCATCGACCCAGCAACTATTCTAACATAGCAACCTCAACCCTCACCTTGAGTCCGTCTTCTCGGCAGTAGGTGTTTGCCTTTTTTTTTTACTTACAACCTTTTCAACAATGCCATCCGTACCCTCGCTTCACCCCTCCTTCTTTTCTGTACCTTTTCTGACAAGGCTTCCTCCAGAGTGGAGAGCGCTGTGTCTGTGTTGCTGGAGTCAGTTTGGAGGCCTTGGACCCTTTCCCTCAACCCAGCCAGCTGTTTGTCCTTATCCTTTAACTGCTCCAACAGGTTTTCAATCTGAAAAGAGAAGGACAGAGACAAGAAAAGCTCAAGTTAGCATATTGATGTTGAAGAAGCAACTCACAATCAAAAAGGTTAAAAAAAAGTCACCAGCAGAAGAAGATACACTAGCATTTGTAAAATGTACAGAACTGTACTAGCCTTGAGAAAAATGTCCCATTGACACTTTCTCCAATTTCTTGCTGTGATATATTCCAATTTGACCTGGCAGCTTAAAAATGACTAGCAATAAAAGCCTCATTGTAGGGCTTGGGTCAAGACAATTAGGGTTTGATCCATGAAGAGAGAATAAGTTAGACTTAGTGGTGTAAACAACACGACCATTAAATGGTGTGACCAAATCAGCTTCAGTACCAGTTTAGTCAAGTTCTACTAAGAGTTGATTCATCCCATTGACTTACAGGACTGTACATCTGCCTTTCTGCGGCTAACCTCATGTTGCTAAAGTGGTGGTGTAATAGCCAGTTGTGGTGTTCAAAAGCCTTTATCTGATGAACATCCGTAAAACAGAACACAATCAAACAAAGACACACATGCACACACTCAAACACAAAGTGCTCGGAGCTGTATCAGACAAAACACAAGCAGATGCAGCTGGTAGGACACAGCACGATGCAATGAGTCTCCAGAGGTCTACAAATTAGTCACAAAGGGAGAGCACATCTGGTGACAGGAGATGGTGACATGGTGACTTATAATTTCCGCAAGCACACTCAACATTCCTCTATATTTCACTCGTCATCTTAAAAGGCAGTTAAATGTGCAAAGTTGATAGACTCACTGAGATGCACTGGCTTAGAGCTTTTATTTTCATGTCTCCATCTTATTCTTGTTTAATGTTTTTTTTTAAGAGAGACAAAGCTCCATTCAGTAACTTCTGCAAAGCATTAATTCGACATTTGACCCAAGTGGACCTTTCTCAGATCAGGGCTTGTGCTGTACAAAAGAGAGGCACATATACTGAAAAGAATGTATTATTTAATGAACATGAGAATCCAATAAAAACAAGAAAAGCACTTCAGGCCATCAAGAGACCAGATTTTAACTGAGATGGTGACAGGGTAAAAAAAAAAGTCCAGTGGGGGGGAATTAGCTGCATTCCAGTCATGGGTACATAGATAGATAATGTCCAAATCTCCACAGCTATTTTACAAATGAATCCAATTAGACTGTAGACTTTGGTGTTCTCTGATCCCTGGAGGGCAAGAGCAAAGATTTAAAGGAGCCATCTTGGTTTTGGCAATGGAGGGAAAAGGCATTCAGGACCCCTCGGCAGATCTTGATATGTTAATGACAGTCATTATATAGTCAAGCTAAGGGCTCTGGTAGGCCAGTCCAGAGGCAATAGGGACATTAAACCCTTCAGGGAATGATGGGAAGGTTTCACACTGCCAAAGTCAGATACAATTCCCAGCAATTCATGATTGCCATGAGTGTTTTAGATGGGATTCTAGGGTGGTCACTGCCTCTGAAAGAAAAGTGAGGTTTATATTATTTCCTCATTTATTGTCAAATGTTTCTCTCATTTTATGTGAGTTGGCTGAAGAGTCACTTCACACGTTTTCAAGGACGTAGGCACTTGGCACTTGAGTAAGACACTCTATACCAGTCATGATCTGTACATCTTGAAAGCACCGGTGAGCAAATTACATAAGGCTGATGCTGGAACATGCTTATCTCCACATGCAGTAAACACAAGAGGAAGTACAAACAAACGAAGTATCTGGCCTGGCTTCGAGTTGTAGCAGCACAGTAGCTTTGACATACCTTGTTCTCCTAAATACGCACAGAAACATATACATAAGCACTCATGCACACCCTAGCTCCCTATTCCTACGGGTACCACAGAGCCTTATTTCAGGTCAAATTGAGCATGTCGCCTCTGGTCTTAGATAAATGATTACATTCTTCACCAGCCTAAGTTTGCTTTGGCCTGGTCGCAAAAAATAACAACCACTCGATGAAATATCTAACCATGTCGCTCTGCCTTCTGTGAAATTGTGCAGAAAAAACGTTCAACATAACGTAAACGCTACATCACCATATGAAAAGCACGTCACGTGATTCATGGATATGGGAAAAAGGGGCAAGGAATTCTGTCAGAATTCTCCAAATCAAAACACATTCTCTGGAGAGAAAGGCCTTTCGTTGACAGGCAAGACACAGGGCAGCCGTATGGTTTTCTGGGAGAAAAGGGGGCCTCCCAACCAGTAGCTCAATTGTTATGATGAGAACAGCAGTCATTCATTTTATCTCTCAGTGTATGAGGCTCCCTCAAACTCTACTCCCGCATCTCTCTCTCTCTCTCTCTCTCTCTCTCTCTCTCTCTCTCTCTCACACACACAGACTTTTATCATTAAACCACCGCGCATATGTCATCCCACTCTCCCACCACACACACCTCCCGCTGAAGCAGACCACCTACGATAGGCAGCTACTCAGACTCTCTGAGCCATGGACTGCGGTGTGGACTGTCTGTCTCAGTGAGTGTATCCTCCTGAGGAATCGTGACGTCTGTTTCAGTCGTCTCCCACACACATGGCTCCTCACTGTTTACAGCCATACGGTTTGACTCTGATAACCTTATCACCAAGATGATAGGACAGGACCACGTTTTCCTTAAATGTGTTGAAGCTCAATAACCTTTTACCAACCGTGACTTCAGACATGACGTTAACCTTTCAAAACAGTAGTTGATTTTTGACGAATCATTTATATTACTATGTAAAAAATGGGCAACCTTGCTCACCTGGTGGATAGGGCTGCTGATGTATTAACGTTGAGTCCTTAACTCCAGTAGCCCATAACATTTTTGCTGCATATTATCCCCACTCTCTTCCCCACTTTCCTGTGTAAGCCTGTTTTGATAATGGCAAACAAAGCCCAACAAATACAACATACAGGAACACAAATTGTTCACATAAACAAACAGATTATCCATTATATACTTGTTGGCGCTGGCTTCAGTCATATTGTAATTGACTTACCAACTTGTTTCAGGGGGCTTTAATTATGTCACCAGTGAAACAAAACCAAAGCAAATATGGCATGTAAAATTCATAGATATGAGACAGATAGTAGGCTTTGGAGCTTTTTTGTTGCAGTCTGTAGTGTATCATCATGATTAGGACAAGCTGAGGTCTAATGTTTTTGGGAGAGAAGTTAGTGACACAGTATCAGGTCCTGTGTCTCTGGCGAAACATTGTGATCTAAAAACGGTTTGTTCCGGAGAGGAACCACAAACCCGGTCAACCCATTTGTCTTCCACCCAAACTAGGAACTAAAACTCGATGGCCTCCAGTGGAATCATTTCTACAGCACACAAAGGAGACCAGCACTGAGCGTGACCACCATAAAAATACAAACGTTTGTATTTTTAAAACTCTTTTGGACCAATAAAAATACCAAACAATAATTGGTCGCCCTTTCTGAACGGCACATTTCTCTGCGCTTGTCATCAGCTCTGAAAATATGACAAAGACAGAATTAAAACCAAAGATCCTGGCACTGATATGAATGCATTTACCCAGACACACACATACAGCCACACCCAAATACTAAGGATAACCGCAAACAGAACAATATGTAGTAACAGTGTGAACCTCCCCGGAGAAATCTAGGTCAGTCAGACCTAGAAACACCAGGAAAGATCATGTTCTGGAAATATCATTCAGCTACTTTAAGTACTCCAATACCACATAGTGCAATCCAAGTAAAACATGTGGATACAAAATGGTGTGTGTTTATATATTGATGTGTCATAATAACATGTACACCTGTATACTGTTCCACATGTCCTGCCATTAGAGCGTGATGATTCAGAGTTTAATAACGGGCTTCCTCCTGCTGCTCAGCACTCAGATGTGGCTCTTCAAAGAGAAACACAGATTGGTCATGAAGTTGAGGGAAGATAGTGACTTTCAGTGAAGAGGGTGTGCCTAAACTTCACTTAACCCCTGTTGCACCACCACCCCTTCTATGGCTCTAAAGCAGGGCAATATGGGCAACTCTGGCAGACTGAGAAAACACCGATACTGTGTGAGCTGGCGCCCCCATGTGGTCATTTTCTGCAACATGCTCATATATCCACTTATGGCGAGTTCATTTAAAATAAAAAGTGATGTGTTATTGTGTGTGTCCCCAAGCATCCACTGCACGAGGACAGCAGAGTTGGACAGACCACAGAGGAGACTCACATTTCCATAGTTTGGAATAAGTGAACTCGATATATGTGACACCCCTTTATCAGGGCAATATAACACAGAAGAGATACCCAGAAGTCCCACAAGTCACCTTTTTATTAGAGATAATATCAGTAGCTTAAAATAAAATTGTAAGCAAAAATAAACTGAGCTCCTGAAAGTACTGAGGTATCTGCCACTATTACTCAAAGCTGCGAAGTCCCCATCAAATGTCTACAGACATTTGATTCAACTGTCTGGGAATGTAAAGGACAATGTGTCACAAAGACCTTTAAGCAGAAAATTACACCTCTCGCCTATTCCACTCAAATGACCTTCCTGATGTCATGCTGCTTTGCTCAAGGAGTCATTACTCATCTGTTATCGACCAGAACGACCGAGCAAAATGACTTCATAAGACGAGTGGTGCCCAAGAGAGGGAGAAAAAGAAGGGTGGGTCACAACGCTCACGTTCTGAAATCATTCACACTTTTCTAAGTAGAGCTCATTCTTTATTTCTGTCAAGGACACTTTACTGTATGTCAAAGAGTGTTTGATAAAATAATGAAAGGAAATCCAATTTCTACGCCTTTTCGAACTGTTTGCCAACATTAACCTGCAGAAGTGCACTGGGCACATTTGCACAAAAACATGTATTGTGCCACTGCATGTGTACATGCCTTTGTATATGTGCTGTGCTCTTCTCTACCTGAACTGCTATTCCTCCAAAACAAAAAGGGCCATGCAAAAGCAGAATCTAGTTTTGAAAAGCCAAACAGGCAGCTTCTCGCCAATCTTACAGCAAAGGAAATAAATGTTTGTCGAGGCAGAAGTTAGACCAAACGAAAGAGACATCATTTTCTACGGGTCTCACTACGATTATGACTGAAGCCTGTGACTCACAGCAGCTCGCCCCAACATTTATTCTGCTCCTAACCACCAGCGCCTGTTAAGAAATACAAAGGTCCCCTGTGTCTATTAGCAACACACACACACACACACACACACACACACACACACACACACACACACACACACACACACACACACACTCTCATTTGAATGCAAGCACACAAGCGTGTAAACATACACATACTTCATGAAAACAGAGTAACAATCATGGATATATAATAAACATGTGTATATATATCTAAATAAATACACATGTATATATATATATATATTATTTGTTGTCGTTGACGTTTTCTTGTATATCTTTAGTAGCTTTTAATATATAGGTTCAGATACATGAGGTT